AAAAAACACTTCCAAACTCTTTTTATGAGGCCAGCATTATCCTAATTCTAAACCCAAATAAAAACACTACAAAGAAAGATAATTACAGGCCAATATCCCTGATGAACTAAATCTTCAACAAAAGATTAGTAAATCACATCCAGCAATATATTAAAAAGATCATACACCATGACCAAGTGGGATTTATTCCAGGGATGCAAGGGTGGTACAACATTTGCAAATCAATAAATGTGATATACCACATAAACATATTGAAAAGCAAAAATCACATGATCATATCAATAGACACAGAAAAAGTATTCAACAAAATCCAACACCCATTTTTGATAAAAATTCTCAGCAAAATGGGAAGAGGGAGCATATCTCAACATGATAAAGGCCATATATAACAAACCTATAGCCAACATCATACTCAATGGGCAAAAACTAAAACCATTTACCCTAAGAACAGGAACAAGACAGGGATGTCCATTTTCACCATTTTTATCTACATTAATAAAAGAGATATATGCAAACAGACCGTATCTCCGTGATGCACATCAACCAATCAGGAGCAAGTATGCAAATTAAATAAACAAACATGAAGGGTTAATTTGCATACACAGGTGTGGAGCAGCCAGGCAGGGTGGGACACCTGCTATGAGGGGGTGGGTCGGGTTAAAAGGGAGCTACAGGAGCAGCACTCTGGCCAGGAATGAGGACTTTCAGGCTCCCAGGCAGCCAGGAGTGAAGCTAGGGGAAGGAAGGCATATTCTTGCATGAATCTTCTTGCAACGAGCCTCTAGTTCAACATAGTACTGGAAGTCTGAGCCACAGATACTTAGGAATAAACTTAATCAAAGAGGCAAAAGATCTGTACTCAGAAAACTACAGGACATTGAAAAAAGAGATAGAAGAAGATATAAATATGTAGAAGAATATACTGTGTTCATGGATTGGTAGAATCAACAGCATTAATATGTCCATGCTGCCCAAGAAAATCTACAAATTCAATGCAATCCCTATTAAAATACCAATGTCATATTTTAAAGAGCTAGAATAAATATTCCAAAAATTTATATGGAACCAAAAAAGACCCTGAATAGCTGCAGCAATCTTGAGAAAGAAAAACAAAGAGGAATCACAATACCAGATTCCAAGTTATACTATGAAACCACCATAATCAAAACAGCCTGGTATTGACACAAGAACAGGCATATAGATCAATGGAACAGAACAGAGAACCCAGAAATTGAACCAAGCCATAACTCTCAATTAACAAAGGAGGCAAGAGCATACGATGGATTCAGGACATTCTCTTCAATAAATGGTGTTAGTAAAATTGGACAGATACATGGAAAAAAATGAAACTAGACCAACAACTTACACCATATACAAAAACTCAAAATGGATAAAAGACTTAAATATAAGTCATGAAACCATAAAAATCCTAGAAGAAACCATAGGCAGCAAAATCTCAGACATCTCTCATAGCAATATATGTACAGATACATCTCCTAAGGCAAAGGAAACTAAAGAGAAAATAAACAAATGAGACTATATCAAAATAAAAAGCTTCTTCACAGCAAAATCAACAAAGCAAAAAGAGAGCACACTGTCTGGGAGAACATATTTGGCAATGATACACCTGATAAAGGGTTAATATCCAAAATATATAAGGAGCTCATACAACTTAACAAGAGAAAGACAAATGATCCAATTAAAAAATGGGCAAAGGACCTAAATAGACAGTTCTCCAAAGGGTACATACAGATGGCAAAGAGACATATGAAAACATGCTCAAAGTCACTAATCATGCCAGAGATGCAAATCAAAATGATAATGAGGTACCATCTCACATCTGTCAGAATGACTACTCTAAACAAATGGCAAGTGCTGGTGAGGATGTGGCAAAAAGGGATCCCTAGTGCACTGCTGGTGGAATGCAGACTGGTCCAACCATTATGGAAAACCACATGGAATTTCCTCAAAAATTTAAATATGGATCTGATATTTGACCCAGTGATCCCACTTCTAGGAATATATCCTAAGAAACCCAAGCACCAATCAGAAAGAATGTATGCACCCCTATGTTCATAACACCACAATTTACAATAGCTAAGATCTGGAAACAGCTCAAGTGCCCATCAGTACATGAGTGAATCAAAAAGCTGTGGTACATTTACACCATGGAATACTATGCAGCAGTAAAAAATAAGGATCTCTTACCCTTTGTGACAGCATGGATGGACCTAGAGGGTATAATGCTAAGTGAAATAAGTCAGTCAGAGAAAGACAAGTATCACATGGTAGCACTCATATGTGCAATCTAAGTAACAAAATAAATTGATTAATGGAGTAGATCTAGAGACATGTAAGCATGAAGCAGAGTGCAGAAACTCAGAGGGAAGGCAGGGGAGGTTGGGTGGGAGGTAAACAATCAAAGACCTAGTATGCATAACTCATGGACACTGAAAATAGGTTGCTAAAGGCCTGGGGCAGAAGGAAGGCTCAGGGGCGGGTTGGGAGGGGTCAAATGATGTAAAATGGGACATATGAAATACTTTCAACAATAAAGAATTCGTTTTTAAAAATGGGCTTCTCATTAATCTAAAATCCATGTAGTGGCCCATGGCTCTAAGGGACACAGGGTGCCTTGGAGGAATTTAAACTTTGTGTTCCACCCTAACTAGTTTGGCTCAGTGGATAGAGCATCGGCTTGCATACTGAAGGGTCCTGGGTTCGATTTCAGTTAGGGGCATGTACCTTGGTTACGGGCACACCCCTGATCGATGTTTCTCTCTCATTGATGTTTCTAACCGTCTATCCATCTCCCTTCTTTCCTGTAAAAAAATCAATAAAATATATTTAAAAATTATTTTTAAACTTTGTGTTCCCATCTTGCTAAAATGGCAGAAGAATAAACTAAACATTGATCAGACTGTCAAACCTCATAGGAAATGTAGGGAAAGATGGGGAAAAGGGTGAGAGATCAACCAAAGGACTTGTATGCATGCATATAAGCTTAACCAGTGGTCATGGACAACAGGAGGGTGGGGGCATGTGTGGGGAGGGGTTTGTGATGGAAATGGGGGAATGAGGACAAATATGTGATACCTTAATCAATAAAGAAATATATATATATATTGTTGTGGCTCCCTTAGTCCTCAAGTGTAAAACCACATGGTCTGCTGAAATACACATTGTTCCAGATTACAAACTAATTTCATGCTTGATGGCTCTGGTATTCCTGCTTTTTGTGAGAGAAATAGATATTTTTGTCAAAGCTGGAGTTGCTGAGCATCTCATGGCTGCTATATCTTAGGCTTGCCACCTTTTGAGACACTGTTGGAATAGGACACATATAACCCTTGTTTACAATCTCCTCATTTTTTCATCTTCACTAACATGGTCACAGATGAGAGGAATGGTTTTTTGACTGGGGAGAAATTCCTGTCTCTTTAAACCACAAATTACATTGCTCAATTTGACAGATGAATTCAGGAGAGGGCAAGTAAATTAACCAAGACCCGATAGATCAGTGGTTCTCAACCTTCCTAATGCCACAACCCTTTAATACAGTTCCTCATGCTGTGGTGACCCCCAACCATAAAATTATTTTCGTTGCTACTTCATAACTGTAATTTTTCTACTGTTATGAATCATAATGTAAATATCTGATATGCAGGATGTATTTTCATTGTTACAAATTGAACATAATTAAAGCATAGCGATCAATCAAAAATATGTAATTATATATTGTGAAATATTTATTTCTAATTACAAATAAATGAAATTTTGTCTTGAAGCATGGTGTAGCATGGTTAACAGTCTTAACATAACAACAGTAAACTTCATTGCTACATTTTGCAACAGTATGCGTAAAAAGCCAAGGTGGAGAATGCTTTTTTATCACCAGATCATAAATTCTCGGGGCAGTCTTTGCAAGAGCACAACAAAGATCATCTTCCACAGCAAGTTTACTTCTGTATGTATTTATTTTTAATTTCTTTATTGATTAAGGTATCACATATTTGTCCTCAACCCCCCATTCCAATCCCTTACCCCTCCCCACTCATGCCCCCACCCCCTGTTGTCCTTGACAACTGGTTAGACTCATATGTATGCACACAAGTCCTTTGGTTGATCTCTCCCTTTTATCCCCATCCTTCCTTTGAGGTCCAACAGTCTGACCCATGGCTCCTTATCTCTGGATTTGTTCTTGTTCATCAGTCTATGTTGTTCACAGTTTCCCTTAGAAATGTACTTATAAGAATAAAAAATGAGACAAGCAATAATGGTTATGCTGAAAGGCAAATGAATCAGTCTGTAGTGAGTTTCTTTCGGGGCCAACAGTTCTTTTGAGACCCAATTTCAATGTCAAACAGTTCCTTATGTGTATATGTCAGCAATGATATTTCGTTTCTGGATGGTGGACAAATCGTGGTAATGCAGGTCCGACCCTCTCTGGTTTGGTCCTGGGTTTGCAGTGATACACAGCTGCTGACTGCTATTATGGTAAGGCGTCGTCAGTGTCTTCCATCTCTGGACTGCTTTTTTTTTTTTGTCTTCATGGTTGGAGTAGTCCTTTCAATTACTTCTGTATTTAGACTTGATAACCACCAAGCTGGAAAACCCTGTTTCACAAAGATATGTTGGAAATGGAAGAAGAAGGCGCAACACAGTCTCAGAACAGAATATGACTGCAAACACTTGATCCAGAATTTTGTAACTGGCATTGTAGAGAAATCAGGTCTCACTGCATAGCTGTTAATAAGTTCAATGAACCACTCTTGTGCTGTCTCAGGAACATCTTCAACTTTGACTATGAATGGGCTTCTGGCAAGTGCAAATGGGGTGTCAGGTAGCTTTGAAAGTACAATGAAATTTTATCTGCAAGCATGTACAAGTGTTCTTTCACAGAAATTATCACCATAATCCTTTTGTCTGGTTCAATGTCATGTTCCTCAAAGAAAGCAGATAAGGTAGGTAACAGTTAGATTTCCATCCATTTTTCCCCCCCAAAGCTGAAGTTTCATTTACAATGATCGGATCTTTTCAGACAAATCGAGGCATGTTGCATTTGGTCCTTGCAGTGATAAATTCAACTCATTCAAGATGGCAAAGATGTCAACCAAGTAAGCTATTTTCTGGAGTTCACTTTTATCGCTGAAAAGTGCTTTCAACTGCGGTCTTGCTTTCTGATTAAAAAACCTTTTGAGTTTATCACAAAACTCAAAAACATGTTTTAAAATTTGTCCTCTCTACAACCATCTCACTTTGGTGTGAAATAGCAGAGCATTGTTTGGTGCATCCAACTCTTTGCACAGTTGTGAAAACAGTTGACTGTTTAAAGTGCTTTCCTTTACAAAATTGACAGAACTTATGATACTTTTCATTACTTCTTATAACTTGTGGCAGCGTCTTCATTGCTAATATTTGCTGATGAATCATACAATGAGTTCCAATGACTTTTGGTGACTCATTTAGTACCAAACGTTGAAATCTAGATTGACATCCTAACATAGCTGGAGCACCATATGTGCAAATACCACAAACCTTTTCCCAAGAAATTTTATGCTCTTTCAGAAAAGAACCAAATGTGTCAAACACATCATGTGCAATAGTTGTCCTTTCCAGAAGTCTGCAAAAAAGAAACTCATCTTCAAAGTCACCATCATTAATATACCTCATGTAAACCAGTAACTGAACAGTTTGCAAAGTCTGTAGATTCATCAAGTTGTATACTAAATATTGGAAGCAGAGCAGATTTAATTTCCTGGATTACCTGATCAAGAATGTCAGCAGACATGTCATCTATTCTTCTGCAGACAGTGTCATTAGATAAGGAAATTGCACTCAATTTTGTAACAAATTCATCTCTGATCATAACTTGAGCAATGTCTTTGGCCACTGGCAACAGTAAATCCTCAGCAATGGTGTGAAGTTTCATAGTTCTGGTGATTCTGAGTGCCATAAAATATGAAGCTTTAATGGCTGCTACGTTTTGTTTGTGGTACTTGCCACCAGTGTCAAGTTTGGCTTACTTGAGTCCATCGGCTTTGCTTCTAAAATATTTGGTATCGGAGAAACCAAGATGGTGGCATAGGTAAACATCTAAACTGCTGCCTCGCACAACAATTTCAAAACTACAACTAAAAGACAAAATGAACATCATCCAGAACCACAGGAAAGCTGGCTGGGTGGAAATTCTACAACTAGAAGGAAAGAGGAAAGAACACAGAGAATCAGAGAAAATGCAAAAGGCTGAGGTACGGAAACATGTGTGCAGGTGGCTTGTGCCTGGCTGGATTTCTCTAGCAGGAAGGAGACAAAAGCTCCCAACTGCACTAAACTCCAGTTCCAGGTGAGACCCTGGAGACCCGGGCTTATATGGGGGGAATCTGGACTGTCAGGCAGAAACTCAGGGGAGCCGCAAAAGGTAGAGGTCTGGAGGCATGTGTGCAAGTGCACAAAGAGAGGACTAACTGCTGAGTGTGCTTCTGGCTTTTTCTAGCAGGTGGGAAATGAAAGCTCCCCACTATGCTGAACTCCAGTTCCAGGTGAGAATCTGGGAATCCAGATTTATTCAGGGAGAAACTGGACTGTGTGGCAGTGGGTGAAACTCAAGGGCAGCTTACACTTAGAGGTGCTTGCAGAGATTACTGAGGGACACTGAGACCCAGGGTCCTCATAGGTCAGGGCTGATGGGAAGCCAAGACTGTCTGCTCAGCCCTGAGACTCTGCCCCATCCAAGCTGAGTACAGAGGCTTTTGCAATCTTGAAAGTCTTCTCAGCTGAGTACAGAGGCTTTTGCAATTTTGAAAGTCTTCTCTCATAAGGGTGTCTCCAGCACAGAAATTCTCCCAGTGTGGACACAGCTGATCCTCAAGGCCAATTGGCCTGGAGGTCAATTCCTCCCTGTGATACCAACAACAACCAAGACTTAACTACAACAAGGCCTTACACACAGTTCACAAAGGGATGCACCAAGAGTGTCCACCTAAGGTAACTGGGGAGGCCAAGCCACTAGGCCATATAGGTCAGCCAGCACACAAAGCTACCATACCAACCCAGGGAAGCAGTGAAAATGTGGAGACAAAGAAACAGATCACAAACAAAAGAAATGGAGAAAAACAAATGACTGGATATAGAGTTCAAAACCACGGTTAAAAGGTTTTTCAAGAATTTCCTAGAAAAGGCTGATAAATTTAGCAAGACCCTAGAGGATATGAAAAAAGACCAACTAGAAATTAAGCATACACTGATTAAAACAAACAAAAAAACATACAGAGACCTAACAGAAGACTAGAGGAATGCAAGAATCAAATCAAAGATTTGAAATACTCAACCAGAAAAGCAAAAAGCAAAAAGAATCCAAAAACTTGAAGATAGTGTAAGAAGCCTCTGGGACAACTTCAAGTGTACCAACATCAGAATAATTGGGGTGCCAGAAGAAGAGAAAGAGCAAGATACTGAAAACCTATTTGAAGAAATAATGACTGAAAACTTACCCACCTAGTGAAAGAAATAGACTTACAAGTCCAGAAAGCATATAGCATCCCAAAGAAAAGGAATGCAAAGAGGACCACACCAAGACACATCATAACTAAAATGCCAAGAGCAAAAGACAAAGAGAGAATATTAAAAGCAGGAAGAGAAAAACAGTTAATTACTTACAAGGGAGCACCTATATGATTGTCAGCTGATTTCTCAACAGAAACTATGCAGGCCAGATGGGAGTGGCAAGAAATATTCAAAGTGATGAATAGCAACAACCTACAATCAAGATTACTCTAGCCAGCAAAGCTATCATTCAGAGTTGAAGGTCAGATAAAGAGCTTCACAGATAAGAAAAAGCTAAAGGAGTTCATCCCCACTAAACCAGTATTATATGAAATGCTGAAAGGTATTCTTTAAGAAGAGGAAGAAGAAGAAAAAGGTAAAGATAAAAATTATGAACAACAAATAAATATCTACCAACAAGGGAATCTAACAATCAAGTGAATTAAAAATCCAAGGAACAGAATAAACTGGTGAATATGATAGAATCAGGGACATATTGTAGAAAGGGAGTGGACTGAAAATTCTCAGGGGGAAAGGGCTGTGGGAGGTGTGGGAAGAGACTGTCCTAATAGCTCCCAGCTCAATAGTGGTGCTATTAGGACAGTAAGGGAGTGGGGGATGCTTATCAGACAGCCATCAGGTGGCCTGAGTAAATCCTGGTTTAGTAACTGTCTGAATATATTTTCCCATATCCCAAGGGTCTGCAATGTTAGCAACATCTGCACCTCCATAGGACGTCTTATTTTCTTGGCCAAGTTGCAAACATCCTGAAGTCCCCTTTTTAGGTAAACAAATAGGGAGCTCCCCACTGAAACTATTATAAATATAATCACTATGGGAAGAAGGAGTTATATGCTTGTCAGAGCTACCCCCGACCATATTGGTGTTGTTAGTAAACACTGGCACTGATTCCTTGGTCCAGGTGGCTGGATTGACCACAGTGGGGTCTGGATAGTATGTCAAGTAAGTTTCTGCTGCAGCCATCATTACCTGGCAGCTGACAAGAGCCAGCATAGTAACAAAAAGGGTCGAGGGGGCTACCTGAACCCCCTGTTCTTTCACCACTTGCTGAGCATCAGTGGTCAGCTTCTTCAGTTGACCCCATGTGGGAATACTAGCTTCTCGGGTGGCCTTGGTCACCTGCCTTCTGCTCTCCTTCTTCTTTGGGGTCTGTGGATGAACTGGCATAATCATGGGAGCTGTGATTTTTAGCTTCTTGAATGGCAGGTCCATAGTCGTGACACACCGCTCGCTCTGGCACCCAGATGGGGTTAGAAGCGCCTTCTGGAAAGATACAAACGTGCCCTCTTCCCCACATCATTACTGGATCTGGCCCTTTCCACTGCCCTGTTTGTAAATCCTTCCATCGTGCCATACCGGAAGATGCTATGGCACCAGGAGCTTGGTGCTTCACAGCTGATGTGTGTCCCTCATGGTCACAATTTAAGAGTCTCATACTCTACTGACTGAGCTAGCCTGGCGCGGTATAGTCACAACTTAAAAAATGTAAAGTGTAAACAACATGATTTAAGTGATTCTGTGGAATAGGATGATAGGTCCTCCTCCTTTCTGTTTTTGTAACTGAGTGTTTAAAGTTTGATTAGCTCTCTCTACAATTGCTGTCCCTGGGGATTATATGGAATTCCTGTTTATTATTTGGTATTGTTTGCAAAACTGTTGAAAGGAAGACCTAGTATAAGCAGGTCCCTTATCTGTTTTTATTTCTAGGGGCCACCCTATGACTGGAAAAGCAGCTTGGGAGTGGTTAATTACATGTTTTGCGCTTTCCTTTATGAGAGAGAAAAGAAACATTTGAGGCATTTCAGAGCCTATTGGGATGATCTAATGTCAATTCTACAATAGATCAGGAGAAAATTTCTTAAAATTTAAACCCTTGAAGGATTGTCAAATTTGATTTTACCAAAAGATTATATATTAAAGTGTATTAGATAGGAGCATAGGCTAGTAAACTTCAGTTCTTATGATTAAAAGATTTTTAAACTACCTGATTAATATAACATAATAATTTTACTAAAAAGAACTAACCAAAATAAGGCTTATTTCTAACTTTATTTGTCCTTAGATGTGGACAGCAAATGACATTAATTGGATTTCTTCTATAAGTCTTTTTTAGTACTTTGACATAAGCTATTCACCCTCTGTTTAGGGAGGCAAAATGCAAAAACCTTAATTTTTCAATGATAACAAAAAATTAAATAGCCAATATTTCTTAGATTGATATTTATGAACACACTTTAAATGTACTTTTACTTTTAAGAAAATATACCTTTAACTAAGTACAAGAGACCTTCTATAATAAAAGCTAAGAGCATGTGAATTAAAGCTTGTCTAGCAATTAATATTTCAATATATTATGTTATTTTAAAATATTTAAGTGTTTATTATTTAGCCTAGCAATGCTCCAAAGTCTTTAAGCTAATAAAGACTTTGAGAAATTATGTATAGGCTGGAGCCACTTGAATTTAAACTTCCAGATTTTCCTTAAAGATAACATGCTAAGGTTACTGTTGTGGCTCCAACTTCTTTCACAGCCTAGAAAAACTGGTTTCCGGTGGAACAGTGGCGCCAAAGGGCTGGTTGGAGCCTGAGTGGGAGGCTGAGATTGTAAATCATCATCTTGGTTGATCCCATATATTCTCTCCCTGGTTGTATAGGGAGAGAAAGGCAGGACAAGGGATTTTATTTTTATTTTCTTGTGTTTTTTTGTTTTGTTTGTTTGCCTTTGTTCCTTTTTAGGCTTTTTTTATTTTTTCAGGGAAAAGGGCAACTGGCCTGTGTTTAAACTTCCCTGGGTTGCAATTTTCACAGATTTTAACTTTCATATTAATCTTAGAATTTTAAAATGTTAATATAGCACAGTAAAATTATAAATCAGAGAAAAACAAATTAAAGTTACAATATTGACACATAGACAGAAATATAATTAGCTAAGAATTTATGATGGCTTGGGAGGGAAAGAAAAAGGTCTTTAA